GACTCCCAAGTGTCACTGTGTCATTGTTCTGGGGCCCCAAGTGTCAGTGTGTCATTGTTCTAGACCCCCAAGTGTCAGTGTGTCATTGTTCTGGACCCCCAAGTGTCACTGTGTCATTGTTCGGGACCCCCAAGTGTCAGTTTGTTATTGTTCTGGACATCCAAGTGTCAGCGTGTCATTGTTTTGGGACCCCCGAGTGTCAGGGTGTCATTGTTCTGGGACTCCCAAGTGTCACTGTGTCATTGTTCTGGGGCCCCAAGTGTCAGTGTGTCATTGTTCTAGACCCCCAAGTGTCAGTGTGTCATTGTTCTGGACCCCCAAGTGTCACTGTGTCATTGTTCGGGACCCCCAAGTGTCAGTTTGTTATTGTTCTGGACATCCAAGTGTCAGCGTGTCATTGTTTTGGGACCCCCGAGTGTCAGGGTGTCATTGTTCTGGGACTCCCAAGTGTCACTGTGTCATTGTTCTGGGGCCCCAAGTGTCAGTGTGTCATTGTTCTAGACCCCCAAGTGTCATTGTTCTGGGACCCCAAGTGTCAGTGTGTAATTGTTCTAGACCCCCAAGTTTCAGTGTGTCATTGTTCTAGACCCCCAAGTGTCAGTGTGCCATTGTTCTGGGACCCCAAATGTCAGTGTGTCATTGTTCTGGACCCCCAAGTGTCAGTGTGTCATTGTTCTAGACCCCCAAGTGTCATTGTTCTGGGACCCCAAGTGTCAGTGTCATTGTTCTGGGACCCCAAGTGTCAGTGTGTCATTGTTCTGGGACCCCAAGAGTCAGTGTGTCATTGTTCTGGACCCCCAAGTGTCAGTGTGTCATTGTTCTGGACCCTCGAGTGCAAGTGTGTCATTGTTCTGGACCCTCAAGTGCAAGTGTGACATTGTTCTGGACCCCCAAGTGTCCGTGTGACATTGTTCTGGACCCCCAAGTGTCAGTGTGTCATTGTTCTGGACCCCCAAGTGTAATTGTGTCATTGTTCTGGACCCCAAGTGTCAGTGTGTCATTGTTCTGGTGCCCCAAGTGTCATTGTGTCATTGTTCTTGGATCTATGTGTGTCATTGTTTTGCTGTTGTGGAGTCCGCCTGAAATTCAGTGTTGTATTTTTAAAAAGTACCTGAGGGTGTTTAATGGTTCTTAGACCCCCCAAGTGTCCATTTTTCCATGCGTTGGTACCACGAGTGTCAGTATTGCCATTGTTCTGGGATTCCATATGTTTGCAAAGTATGGAGCGGTGCTGCTTGCTTTTCTTGAATTCTTTTATCTGCAATTAGTCTTTGGCATTAGTCCCGAAGTACATCAATTTAATGATCGTAATTTAGTGTTGCAGGCACATTTTGATATATTTAATTGAACCACCAAAAACAACAATGATTCCTCTGATCTGGTGCACTCCCATGGCGTTCTCTACCCGTCTTGGAGGAGCACAATAGTGGCAGTGTTGTTGTAGAAGCTCATACACAAGTTTTAACAGAGAGCCAAGGTGAGGCTAGATATTGAATATAAGGCTGGTCCTTTCTTTTATCATCGCGCCCTTCCCTGGAGAACCATAAATATCAATAAGCTGTTTATTTAACTTATTTCATAGGTAATAGGCCTATAGATCAGGAGCATTTATTAACACCCCGACAGGACACAAACGCGTGATGCACGTAGGATTGATGATTAAAATTAGATTCGAGCTCTTCTGATTCTGAATAGGGATGCAATGGCGTTATGTAAATATAAATTCACGTCAAACAGGATTTTTGACTTTACCTCTTCACCCATTTTGTGTTCACGCATATTAGACAATAAATACACACAGGACATGTCAAGATTCCGCTTCTAATTTTATTTTAAAAATAGATACTTTATTATAAATCTTACTCCAAATGAATTTTACATGAATTAAACACGTTTTCCCAGCAACCCCTCCAGCATGATCACGGCAGGTCAGTCAGTATCCCTGAGATGTGAGTCTACTGCACAATGTTCCACCTGTCGGGCCAGTTTGCTTACCATAGCCGCTCTCTGACCCTATACATCACACTATCCAGGAGTTGTCACTCTTCTCTGATATACACAATACTTATGTCTTTGGTAACAATGTTGTTTAGTTATTTTTAGTACAGTTTTAAAAACGCATTTACATTTTCCATAGGAAACCGAGGAAGACAAAGAACATAACAGAGCAGACACAGCGATGTCATACAGTATATTGTATTTCCCAGAATAGAAACTGGAAAGTGTCTTATGTATATTATCATTGTGTCTAAAATCCCAAGTGTATCTCCAGGTTAGATATGGCCTGATTACCGTGCTATCATTATATGACCCTCGTACCTAATAATACATAGTGGGAGCAGTCATTTATTCAAATGTTGTCACCCACACAAAGCATAGAACCCACGACTCTCAGGGTAAAGTCTCACCAGAAAATTCTCTGTTAAAGGGATTATAAAACCAACGTTTTGTTAGGTGAACATGTGAACAATCGCTTCGGGAAAAATAATTGTATCAATATTGTTAATGTTTGGAAAAAATCTGTTCCTGTGTGTAATTTGTAATGATACATTTACATGGGGCTACAAGTACTTTACTGCCTCTTCCTACACACCGGCCAACTCATCATCAGAATTCATATTATCCAAAGGTGAAATATATTAAAAGAAAATTCAGGGAAAATAATGTAATAGTAACAAAGTATGTTCTTGCTGGAAATTCATAAAACTTTGCCTTTAACAGGAGCAGGTCTGTGTAATTGTGGGCGCTCTACATAAAACCAACCAGCTAAATCAGGTAGCATCCAAGATGCTGCAAACATACAGCATGGTCATACTGAATGGTCATTCTGAATGGGGATATTGAATGGTCATACTGAATGGTCATACTGAATGGGGATATTGAATGGTCATTCTGAATGGGGATACTGAATGGTCATATTGAATGGTCATACTGAATGGGCATGCAAAACTTTCATTGGAACTACTCTCCAGAAATGAAGGACATCAGCATCTAATATCCTTGCAGCCAACCTAACAAAGTGTTGATGTCATTTATATGCATTTTTTTTTTCCTGAGGGTTTTCCTAATGCTGGTGATATCCAGCTTTTTGATTGGCAGATTGTGCATATCTACCTGGCAATATACTCCCTTCTACAGATAGATATTTTCCAGTGAGTCTTTACCTGTACCTGATTGTTTGTATAGATATGTTTAGAGCGTTGTAACATTTGTGAACCCACCATATTACTCCCAATTTTTCTCTCCAACATCAAAGGGACCCATTTGTAAAGATCAAACCCATATCTCACCATCTTGTTTTCAGAGAAATCTCAGGATATCGCTCTTGTGTAATCCCAGCAAGGTGGAGGTAATGCTGTGAGATCTGCTGTGCACGGTCAGTTTACATAATGCAGAACAGACACAATTTACCAGCATGTGGGGAGTAAAAAGCAAACCTCTTGATGATCTAAACAATCCTATATTTTCTACTTGTTTTTTTTTTAAGGCCCAAAAATCACCTCTCCCAAAAAAAGTCCCTCCGCTTTGCTGTGTGCAGTACAGATCTGAAATCGTGGAGATGTCACCAGCACACCATTGATTCAACGTGATAAGTAAAAGTGGGTATGTTCCTTCAATAAATGGACTTTTGCTTATCACATTGAATCAGTGGTGTGCTGGTGACATCTCTACGATTTAATTTTTTTCACGGTGCCATCCGTGGTCACCGCAAGCACCCACCTGTATATCCAGGTTTTTCCGTCCAGGTAAGGAGCGCAACAAGATACTCGTTCTGCAGTACAGATCTGTCCCACACAGTCACATTGTCTTTATGAAGGGAGGAGTAAAGTTATTGTCTATGGTAACCAACCGGATCTCACCCTTCCTCCCCAGACCTGCACTAGGAGAATGGAACACGTTATGTTGCTGTGAGCAACGGCTCCAATTCTACTTTACTCTTCTCCGATACATTTGTCCCGGTGATTTTGGTCTGTGTGCACGGCCCGGAGGAAGTACATGCTGGAAAACTCAGAAGGGATAATGAAAGTGTTGTTGCATGTAAATCACTTCGTATAAAAAAAACCAAAACAAATAAAATGTGTAAGCTTGCGTTACTCCAAACTGGGCAGTAGTTCTCCCGTGTCAGAGGTGAACGAATGTTGTTGGGATACAACTATGTTAGAATGTAGACTATGGCATCCCTTAAACTGGCAGCACATGTTACAGTATGAATGTCTCATCTGAAAATGTCTTTTAGAATTACCAACAGCTATGCCTTGTGGAAGTTTACCCAAACAATGCATTTATTATCTATCCAATCACGGCAGTCCTCCACTGTTGTTGGCCAATCAAAAAAAGAAGTACAATCAGGGTGTAATAAGTGTAGCCAGCTTAGGTGTATGGTTTCTTTCATGTGACTGTTCAAACTGTTAGGATGTTATCTTTGTCAGAACAACACCAACACACGGTTCTCTCCTCTGTACACAGGACATTATGTCATTTCTTCCAGTGTTACTCTAGATGGTGGCTTGTCAGTAAAATTATAGCCAACATACTAGAAGGATATCAATTGTAATATGTCTGAATGAACACATCTACGTGTGTATACAACATGTAGCATGCAAGAAAGGCACTTCGAATGAAAGCGTTCTCCAGTGGGGTCACGCTGGGAAAGTCAGCTTCTTTCCAGCCGTCTGGCTTTTTGTTCACCCTTTTCCACTACAGTTCCTGGCACAAAAATAAAGAACACTATATATACACTGTCCAATTGTTTTCAAACACAGCAAAAATTCCCAGTCTTGTCTGCGCAGCCCCCAGTTAGTCACAGAGATTCTCTGTTCGGCTCCCTCCTGCGTGGCAGCTTTAACCTTTTCCTTTCTGGATGGAAGGATGGAGAGATGATCTCATCAATGATCCGGGTCTGTGTCTATGATAAGTTCATAGAACACAATTGAGAACTTCCAGAGGGGCTCCTGAGGCCACGTTGTACAGTTTATTGTTGTATCGTCCTCCTTTTTTTTTTATCTTGAGGATTCCTGTTCGTTGGGTGAGGCCTCTAGTGATGTGCAAGGCAGAGGGGGCGATGGAGATTCTGGATTCTGGCTCTCATCCTGTTCATTCACCTCCACAGTCTTGTCATCCTGGTCTTCTTCTGGCTCTTGGACCTCATTCCCGTCATCAACATCTGCCTTCATCTCCCCTGCCTGTCTGTGCAGCCTTTCCTCCGCTTCAATTTCTTCAGAAGTTGGGATGGAATTCTTCTTGGGACGTCCTTTTGGCTTGGTGGGGGCCTCCTGTCCACCCTTAAGCACCTTGCAAATACAAAGATCTAAGTTATTACAAACAAACTGGAATAACCCTAAATATTTGCAGCAAATGATTGCAGCATCCACCACCATCGCAGAGCTGCCATATTGACTTTTGAATACTATGTTACCACCATGACAGATAAGCAGCAACTGATTTTGCAGATACTCGTAAAAGAGATCATTTCCCCAGTGAATACATTTTGACAATCTATCCATCCTATAATACGATCAGTATTGCAATCTGGCTATTTGACCATTTTTAGTGCTGTTAGTATATTCTTTTGAGGTCTCATATTTTGAGTGTGAGTGGAAGAGAATTAGGGGGTTATTCACTAACACCGAAGGCAGCCGACTCGAAGTGAAGGGAATCGGACGCTGTCCGGCTATTCACTTCAGCCCTGTATGGCTGAAAACAGCCGTACATCAGCTCCCTCCACTTCACTGAGCCGAAGTGAAGAACGTGTTCACCTCAGCCGATCCAACATCACTGTCACCGCTAGCTCCGCCTAACTGTTTACATTCGGCTGCCACCCGTCAGAATTTCATTTTGCTAAGCCTTCTACTTGTTTTCGTTCTTTTAGTTGTAGGTAGAGTAGTGAGGGCTTATTGGCCAATTGTCCTGAATCCTTTGGGACAGTCCCTGGATTTAGAACAGTGTCCTACCGGATCAGAGAAGACACTAGACATGGGGGACGCTTAAAGTTTATGGGAAGAAGAGGGGTAGGTAGGCAGTACAGGGCTCCAGGATTTCTTATGTATCTTATGCGACCTGCCTCTATTCTTTCCCGAATTCTCTTGTTAAAGACCACACAAACCCTCAGTTCAGGCCCCCCTGAAGACTAAAACTGACTCTATACAACTCGGCCATCAAAATATTCTCCTGCATTAGCCATATTTCTCTTTGATATTCTACATGGGGGTTCTGTTGGCGATACTATTTAACCCAGGGATGGCCAAACTCCGGCCCTCCAGCTGTGGGGTGAAACTACAAATCCCATGAAGCATCTCTCTTCGGGAGTCATGTCTGTGTCTGTGAGAATCTTGCAAAGCCTCGTGGGATTCGTAGTTCCACCCCACAGCTGGAGGGCCGCCGTTTGGCCAACCCCTGATTTAACCCATTGCGAATTGCTGTTCACGTCAATTAATGAGAAGTAAAATGGTAGCCAACTTACAATTTTCTTCCATTTCATCCTTCGGTTCTGATACCACGTCTTGACCTGCAGCTGTGTCAGGCCCAGAGACTGAGCCAAGTCCAGCCTGAAAAACACAAAAGAAAATGCGTCAGTGAGAAATGAACTCGGGCTGGGTTAGGGTTAATGCACAGATCGGTTAGTTGTTAGACTGACAGTAAATCGCAGGAGCGTTCGTACTTTCTGAGGGTTCACACAATAGAATACATAGGTAGCAACTTAAACGATCCAATTCAGCCAAATATAAAAACATGTTTGCAATAAAAATGTTAATGAGGTTCTATTTGGGAACCAGCATGATCTCTGTACGGTCCTGTGCCTGGGGGACGGGGCATTCGTTTGGGAGATTAGGAGCAAATGTATTCAAGGAGGACAACCTTCTACCATAATGCTCTGGAAGACTCCTCTGATGTCCCCATGCACGTCACCCAAAACCATTACAGGTCTTTCTGTATGATAGAAATTCACACATTTCTCGGTTCGCTAAAGTATCTTTCGTCTGTCGTAGCGTTGAAATCTGGCTGGACTACAAGCGGCGGAGCCGGCTCTCTGTTACCCACAGACTTTTCGCTGAGCCTCTTAATGGTTTCAGCTGACATTTTAATGTCTTTGAGATGAATGTCTCAGTCCAGAGCTATTTCTTTTCTGTTTGTCTAAATGCTTGTTATCTTCAGCATCTGGATAATAGGCAGAGCGATTGATCTCACCCCCCGCCCCCGTACTTGTGCCAACTCAGATGCCAAGGCCATATAGAGGATTTGCCCATTCTGTCTGCTGACAGCGCCGTGCAGCTGGGGAAGCATTAAAGCCAGAAACAGCTGGACCCGCCAGGCCGACACAGCATTAGGGACAGAGCAGAGAAATTGCATTTCTTAAAAGCCCTTCTCAATGAAAATGAATAGGATCATTTATTGCCTGCAGAGCCTCTTACATGCTTCTCTGTGCCTACTGCCGGAGCGCAGAAACTGACAGACGTGTTGACGTGTTCTCTATTATAAATCCGCGGGCAGCTCCTCAGATCTCACATGTCTGTGAATTTATATGCCTGAATACAGCTGCACAGTGGACAAGCCATTGAAAGTCTAGTAGATACAGGAAAGCCACACCACAACAGGACCTTTTATTAAAATAGAACATAGACCCACAATTTCCACAGCGTGAAAACTGATTTTTTTTTTTTTTTTTTTACTCTTCGGATTTTGTTCATTGGGGTGAAGCAGTTTTTGGATTGGTAGATGGGGAACTGTCACTTCTGTGTTCTTGTCTGCCTGAGTGAACTTATTTTCTTCCTGTTGCTACATGTAAGTCATGTTCCATCACTGTAATAAATGGAGATTGTATCTCCTTTTTTTTTTTTTTTTTCAAATTAAA